GTAGGATGGGCGTATCCGGGGCGTGGCCAGGGTTGTCCGGGGCGTGTCCAGGAGTGGCCGGGGGCGTGGCCTCGGCAAGGCCATGTGGGGTGGGCGTGACCAGGTAGGATGGGCGTGTCCGGGGCGTGTCCAGGAGTGGCCGGGGCGTGGCCTCGGCAAGGCCATGTAGGGTGGGCGTGTCCGGGGCGTGGCCGCGGCGCACACTCACAACATGAAGTCCTGCTCCCAGCTGGGCTGGCTGCCGCGCACGGCGATGGTCGTGCTCTTGACATTCTGCACCTTCAGGGTCACGTAGGTGTTGAATTTCTCTGCGGCGGCGACAGAGGCGTCGGCCGGGCGCTCGGGACCCTGACAGCCCTTCCCAAGCTGGGGGCGGTCCCCGCTGCGCTCTCCCCGCGGGGTCGCGGGGCGCCCCGCACGCCGCTGAGCGCAGAGGCCTGGGCGGCCGCGCAGACGGACACACAGACCGGGCGCAGGGCAGCCGCGAGGGCCGAGCCCGACTCAACGCGCTGCCCTGGCTCCGGGGCCCCAGTGTCCCCATCTGTAACCGGCTCAAGACGCCCGACGCCCGGCCCCGCGCTCCAGAGTCAGAGGACAGGCGGACAGGACAGACGGCGCGGACGGCGCGCGGGCGCTTACCTTGGGCACCGTCAAACTTGGCTTTTTTGACTGTGGAGAGACAGAGATAGGGGCGGGAGACGGGGGAGAGGAGGGGAGGGGAGACCCACAGACAGGCGCGGAGACGGACACGCAGAAACGAGGACAGACAGACGCGGCAGCACAGCCAGGACACAGGGACACGGAGACGCGAGACGGGACGGGACAGGCAAAGACAGCAAGCACAAGAGCATCAAGAGACCAAGCAGGAAAAACAGAACGAGGCAGAGACGGACACAGAGGAGGGGAAGCAGGGAGGAGGAGGAGGAGGAGGCGGGGACGAGAGAGAAAGGGAGAGCATGAGACAGACAGCCCAGGCTGGCCTGGGGCAGAAGGAAATCTGGACAGAGGCAGCCCCCTCCCGCCCCATCCGCATCTCTGTCCCTGCAGCGGCGCCTTCGCCCCCAACCGAGCAAGATTCAAAACAAGGATCCAAGCCGGGCCTGTCGGTGCCCACCCGTCATCCCAGCACTCTGGGAGGCTGAGGCAGGACTGCAAGTTTGAGCCTGGGCTGGGCAACACAGTGACCTAGCAAGACCTTGCTGCAAAATAAAAAATCGAAAAGCAGGAGCTGGGAAGTGGCTGGAGGGCCTCCCCCGGGAAGCCTCCACAGGGCCCGAGTGGTGGAGCGGGAGGCAGGGGGAGCCGAGACCACCTCCCAGGCCGCGTCCCTGCCAGGTTCACGCACCTCTTCCCTAATCGCCCGGCTCCACCGCCCCAGGCGCTCCGGGGTTTGCAGGGCAGGACTCAGAGGGCTGCCAGGGCACGGCTGCTCACGGCCATCCCTTGCCTTGCCTGGGGCAGTGCGGCCCGAGGGCACGCCAGGGCCCCTCTGGCCGGCTGGTCAGGAACCAGCCCTGCGGTGCCGAGGGACCTGGGGCAGCGCCCGGGCCGGGCCAGCTGTGTGCAGAACGTCTTCACCTCGCCGGCCTCCTCCGCCACTCACTCACACCTGACCCACGATGCCCCCTCTTCGGGTCCTGGGGATCGAACCCAGGGCCTTCGCAAGGAACTACATCCTCACCCCTTTAAAAATGTTTATTTTGTTTATTTTTGATTGAAAGTCTCCCTAAGTAGCTAAGTTGCCCAGTTGGAGAACGGCCCTCCTGCCTCTGCTTCCCGTGGTGCGGGGCGCACTGCGCCTGGCTCCCCACGCCCTCCTTTTCCTTCTTCTTTTCACCTCCTTTTTCCTTTTGAAAAATCATTTCTCTGCTTATGTAGGCCACGCGTGCAGACACATACCAAACCCACAGTAACCGGAGTTGCTGCTCTGAAGCCGGGCATGGTGGCGCACACTCGTCAGCCCAGCACTCTGGGACGCTGAGACAGGAGGATCGCATGGCAAGTTGGCAATTTGGCAAGTTACCATCTTACGCAATTTAGCAAGACCATGTCTCAAAATTTAAAAGAGGGTGGTGTTGGGATGTAGCTCAGGATGAAGGCCCTGATTCAGTCCCCAGTACCTGCAAAACTAACCCTAGCTCTAGGCCGGGTGCTGCGGCCACGCCTGTAATCCCAGCACTTGGGAGGCTAAGGCAGGAGGATTGTTACGAGTTCGAGACCAGCCTGGACTACAAAGTGAGCTCAAGGCCAGCCTGAACTGCATAGCGAGACCCTGCCTCAAAAAGATTAAAAAAAAAAACAAAACAACAACAAAAAAACAAACCAAAAACCTCAAACCAAACAACTCCCAAAACTAACCCTAGCTCTCTGTCTACCCCAGCCCCTTCTTCCCTGCCAGGTGCCATCAGCGGAAAGGCTGCGTTACTTTACTTCCTGTGCAAACAGCCGCGTCCCGCGCGCACCGTCCTGAACGCACGGCTTCCGCGGGTCCTGGAGAAAGTGTGGGAGTGAGCAGAGGGTGCATTGCTAGCAGCAGAGGGTGTTCCTAGGACAGACGCCGCAGCGCTCCGTGCTGGTTAAATCCCCCTGCCCCCTGAATGCACGCCTCACAAGCACAGCCAAATGGAGCCAGTGGAGGTGGAGCGGAAGCACAGCTCCTTCCCACTGTGGAAGCGGGAGCATCGAGCTCCTACGCCAACGCCCGCGTCCCCACCGGAGCGGCCCAGCGTTAACGCGGAGGAACGCGCGGGCGTGCGCTGGGAGGGGGCGCGGCGCGGGGCGGGGCCGCACACCCCTGCGACCCGGCCGAGCCTGCTGGCCGCCTCCGTCGCCCCGCTCGCCTCCCTGCGTCTGGCCGGTCCTCCCGCCGCTCCCCCGGCCTCTCTCGCCCGAAATCGGCCCGGAGTCCCCACTTGCGCACCCGGCCTCCCTGCAGCTGGGGCTGCGGGGTCTGGGGTCCTGCCCGCCCCGGGCGCCACCCGAGCAGCTCGGAGCAGGCCAGAGGGGCTCGGCGGGGAGCCCGGCCGCGCCTCGGGGTCTCCGCCTGCGTCTGCCTGTCTGTCCGTCTGTGTCTCCCTGTCCGCGTCCCGGCCCCTGCCTGCTGCCTCCGCCTGCAGGCTGCCCGGCTCCCGCCGCCCGACCCCTCCCGCCTGTCCGTCCGTCCGTGCGTCCGTCCCTCCCTGCGCCTGTGCCCTGGGGCCCGAGGGCTGGTCCGGGGACAGCAGCGGTGCCCACGTCCCTTGCTGCCGGGCCGCGC